AGGTCTGAAATAACATGCAAATAGTTAGATGCTGTTATTGATGTGATCACACCCTCTCTCCCTTCCCTTGCAGTAAACCCAGTGCCACTGATATCTCAAGAACAGAGAACTAATTAAAAAACTCCTGGAGTCTGTTTTTGGCTTCAACCTTTGCACAAAAATAAAGCACTGGCAAAAACAGCTGTGTTTTCCTTTTCCCTTTCCGCCTCTGTCGTGCACTTCACTGCCACAAGCTGAGGCCTGTTAGCCCATTGTACACAGAAGTGCAAAAATCCCCATTCTGTCATAAATTATTATTCATTAGTTCTGTTGTGGGTTTCTGGATGTTTTCTTTCATGTGCATGATGGCACACATCAAACAGTGTACTTTCACCTGACAAGATTTATTTGACATCTTCATACCGCCACTTAGAGAGAACGGGAGTGTGAAATAAAACATTTTTCCCATCTGCTTTTTCGGATGCAGGACTTTTATGAGAATGTTAATGATGCCTTAACCCTTGGCTTTAACTCAAAGAAGGTTTGAGTTACTAATGTCAAATTAAAAGTGTTATTGAGGCTTTTTATCACCCGCTGATGGAGGGTAAAAGTGAGTGAAAATGCTGTTGCCCATGTATATGTGCATGGATGTGTGTGTGTGTGTGTGTGTGTGTGTGTGTGTGTGCGTGCGTGCGTGCGTGCGTGCGTGCGTGCGTGCGTGTGTGTGTGTGTGTGTGTGTGTGTGTGTGTGTGTGTGTGTGTGTGTGTGTGTGTGTGTGGATGAGCTCACTGTGTGTCGCAAGTATGCGGTCTGCACCTTGCTTTGGTGCAGACCGCATACTTGCTGCATGGCTATGCACTGCATGTAGTTCTGGAGGGTCCCACTAGGGGGCGGACTAGAGAACCCAGACTGGAAAGAGAGCCAGGTTTGTAGGAACAACCAAAACAAACATGGCATCAATAAAAGGGTGGTATCGTAGATCATAGACACGTATATAAACACTAAATGGCCCACCCGTGCTGTTCGCCAATGGAGAGCAACGTCGCAACTTGGTGGCCATCTTCCCTCAGACAGCTGCCCCCTTTTGTAAAATCAGTGTAAATGATGCATGTGAAATATCACAGGTTTGGCCTGGAAAATCCCGTTATTTCACTCCACGGGCATTTAATCGTTCATATATATATATATATAACATATTTATTTGTAAGTTACAGCAATTTACAGTACACACAACCTATAATTGTATATGTAAGAGTGTATGTATGTATGTGTGTGTGTAATATATATATATATATATATATATATGTATGTTCCAATCCACCTGTTTTGATTATGTCTAAACTTTTTCAGAAAGCAACGTCCGACGTCCTTATCAGTATCAATTTATGTGGTCTTGAAACCTCATCTCTAAACAAATCTATCATCTATCTATCTATCTATCTATCTATCTATCTATCTATCTATCTATATAATTACTATTATTATTATTTAGGGTTCCAAGCCCAACGGCTAAGAACACACCTAAGATGTACAAAAACTTTATTCTTAAATCCATAGTTGAACTAAAGATTATCAAACAATAATCTATACATCAACAGAATAATACAAATAACATAAATACTTGATAATGTCTTTAGATTTAATAGATTTTCAACAAAAACTATGAATTTCATTTCATGACTTAAAACGCGCAGGTCTAAGAAACCACCTTCGCTTCTGTTTAAGATGCCGGGACGAAAACATCACACCCACAAGCCTACAGCTGAAAACATCGATCCGGACCAAGACAGCACAAAATATAATAGAAAGAGCACAGAGAGCACTGCTCAAGGAGAGGATAAGGAATGTCATAACCAAACAGAGGCGTGTGGAGGACGAACTGGAAAGAGGACACCTGGACTTGAAAAGGAATTACAAACTTGATAAACAAATGGAGGAACTAATTAAAGGACACATGATGGAAAAACAGGAAAAAGAGTTCACAAAAGTAAAAGAAAGACACATAAAAAAGTTAAACAAACTCATAAACAAGAAAAAGAGGGGAGAAATGCAAGGTAACTCCACACCAAACTCATGGGTATGTAACATTTCACAATACGAACTAACAGAAGCAGAAGGGAACATATTAAAGAAAGGTTTAAACTTTGCAGTCACACCAAAAGAAATACCATATGATGAATTCATTGTAGCAACAGAACTAGCATGTCAACAGATCACAGATGAGGGAAAGAAAGCAGAACTCAGAAATAATGTAGTTGGGATATTAAAAAACAGCCAAGCAATATTACAAAAGAAGAACAATCAGCCATGACAGCTTTATCCAAAAATGAACAGATAATTATTCTACCGGCAGACAAAGGACGAACTACAGTAGTTATGGACAGAGAAAAATATAAACAACAGATGAAACAGATGCTAGAAGACAAAAATACATACAAAATACTTTAAAAAGACCCAACAGAAAACATTAAGAAAAACATGAAAAAATTACTGAAGCCACTACAAGAAAAAGGCAAAATAACAGAAAAAATGAACAAACACTGGATTTCTACGGCAAACATAACACCAAGAATATATGGAACGCCAAAAATACACAAACAAAACACCCCACTTAGACCAATAGTAGACAGCATAGGTACACCAGCATACAACATGGCAAAAGAAATCAGCAGAATCATCAGCCCGTTATTAGGTAACACAGACCAACACTGCAAGAATAGTATAGAACTGGCAAAAGAACTAAAGGAGATTACAATAGAAGACAAGAACATACTCATCTCACATGACGTCACATCCCTGTTCACAAAAACACCAACCCAAAAAACCATAGACATAGTAGTTAACAGAATCAGACAGGACAAGACTTTACACAAAAGAACAAACCTCACAGCAGAGGACATAGCACAACTGATAGCACTGGTAGCTAACTCCACTTACTTCACATACGACAACACAATATACAAACAACTGGAAGGCTTCGCCATGGGTAACCCGTCATCACCCACCCTGTGCGAGTTTTTCATGGAAGACCTAGAGCAAAAAGCCATAGCCACTGCCCCCCCCACCCCCCCAAACTGCAAAATAAAACTATGGAAACGCTTCGTAGATGACATACTGGAAATCATACCAAAAGGACAAACAGAAACATTAACACACCACTTGAATAACATTGACGACACAGGCAGCATAAAGTTCACTTATGAGTCAGAAACAGAAGGCAGTATAGCATTTATGGGCATGAAAATCACCAGGCAGACCGACGGGACCCTAAACATAAACACATACAGGAAACCAACACACACAGACCAATATCTATTATGGACATCAGAACACCCCACCATACACAAAATGTCAGTAATCACAACACTATATCACCGAGCAAACATGATAACAGAAGAAAGAGACCGTAAACAAGAGGACAAACACATACAACACGCTTTAAAGACCTGTGGATACCTGACATGGGCAATAAACAAAGGAAAACAACAAACAACAACAGAAAGAAAAGAACAACCCAAAAAAAGAACCAGAAACCCAGAAAGACAAGAACCAAAACCAGTGATAACCCTACCATACATCAAAGGTATAACAGAAAAAATAAGAGCAACAATGAAAAAACACAACATAAACACACCAACAAAACCATACACAACAGTTAGAAACAGACTAGTACACCCAAAAGACAAGATACCAGCTGGACTTAAATGTGGAGTCGTTTATGAAATCCCATGCAAACCCTGCAATAAAACATACATAGGAGACACCGGACGCCAACTCAACACACGAACAATAGAACATAGAAAGGAGTGCGAGAAGGAGGCAAGTCGAAAACACACAAGAGCAGCAAAAGAAGAAGCAGAAAGTACAATAAAGAAGTCAGCCGTAACAGATCACTGCACAAGAGAAAACCATATAATGGACTGGGACAACACAAGGATCATAAACACCGAACAACAAAAATAAAAAAGATGGATAAAAGAAGCAAACGAGATAAGGAGATGTGGATGTGGGACCATGAACAGGGACGATGGCGTTTACACGTTGGACCGCGCATGGGACTGCATCGTCAGAGAGGGGAGAGCGGGCAGCAGAGGGCGACAACGTCCTCTGCTGCCCGCAGATAAACGAGAAGGAAGTGACGCCACCATCAGCGTCAGCCTGAGGAAGTTTGCGGCCACAAACGAAACGTAGCTGGAAAACAGGTAACAAAAATGTTCTGTGTTTTAAAAAAGAACTACAGCATGGAAATAAAGTTTTTGTTTCAGTCTATTTATTTAAGAATCTCAATTGATTGAGAAGTCAACCATTCCTGTGAAAGATGTGTATGGGCTGTGCAAAAGGTTTATTGACGTATCCTGATTGTAACTTTCACCGCGCCGGTTGACGTGAGCTGACGGGTCCGCCGGCGGGAGAACGTGTTTTTGGGGCGGGACCGCGTGGGGAATGGCGAAGGTGAGGGAGGGGCCAGGTAGGCGACTGGCGCTGGATGGCTTGGAACCCGTTGATAACTGCTTGCAGTTCTAGTTGTTATTATTATTATTATTATTATTATTATTATTATTATTATTATTATTATTATTATTATTATTATTTTATATAAAGATTTGTTTAGAGATGAGGTTTCAAGACCACATAAATTGATCACAGACACAAAATGTGCCCCCCAACAAATAAAACAACCAACACCCCAACCACATCTGTCAGCCAGATCTGGCCCACCAGCAACAAAATGTAACCTGGTAAAGTATTTTGTATTTTCACTATTTCTTGAAATTTGTTTGATTATTTACAGGCTTTCTTTTGATTCTGTCATGAAATTACTGATAAGGACGTTGGATGTTGCTTTCTGAAAATGTTTAGAAATAATCAAAACATGTGGATTGGATTGGATTGTTGGATGGATTACATTAATAAAGAAGATAGATGGATAATTAGCTGATCTTGTGAAGGATATATTCAGGTGTCCAGTGCAACAACATTCTTAAAACTAGATAAACAATGTATAGAAGTAGGCAGCAACCGCAATGGAACAACAGTTTTATTTTAGTAAAATAAAAACAATTAACACATTGAACAATGTACATGTACAGGTTTCTTTGCAACAGTTTCAGATGAAAGGTGATCCCATGTTGTCTCGATTTATCACAACGCTGATCTGGGCATCCACAGGCTGCACAAAAGTCAGGCATGTTGACTCTCAAGCGTCACAATTTAGCAAAGGAGTATTTCTGTAAACACAAATCCAGCAATGTTCTCCGTTTTACTCTGTCTCAAGTTTTGTTTAACAAGCCAAGCCACTTGGAAATCATGAGTAATTTAGCATTTGTTTATTTAAAGTAAACGAGCAACTCCCACTTAGGTAAATTGTCTACTTTGTTTTGCTAAGTGGTGCACCCACTGTACCCTCGTCCTCTCTAAGCCAAGTTAGATAGCTACTAAGTACATTTAGACAAAAATGTGGCTGTCGTAAAATCGTTATGGGTTTCGTAGAACCATATTGATTATGGTCTCAACCTGAATAACACTCAAATAGCCTAGGTGGGACACATGGTTCACAATTTGGTCACTTTCAAAAGCAAAAGCGTTCATTTCAACATGTGCAAGTTCGTCGTCCATGTGCATGTGTTCTGAGGTTTGCAACAAGGCAAACTGCTTGTAAATCTGTTAATATTTCAGTGAGTTAAAAGTGTTTTTGTTCAAGTTGATCACTCACCTTCCAGCTGTTACCATTGCAAGCGGAGATGGCCGCCGTTTAGCAACGCCGTCGACTCCCGTTTTCGCCATCTAGTGCTTATATACATATCTGCGTCGTAGATGGTGTGAAAGACCTTTAACCAGAGATGAAATCACCATGGTGAGTTTTTCTTGCTCGTTTTGTCAACTCCACCTACTGGTTACTCGTAAATTGAAGAATTTGGACGCATCACATTAATTTGGGGGCACAAACAATGCTTCAGATCAACGCAGGTAACACGTGGCAGCCATTTTAAACACTCGTTTGCATCATTAAACAGTAAGTATTTCATGAGCCTTATCCTGACAGTCCATCTAAGCTTCATGGTCAGAAGTGGTTTGATGCTAACTTGCAGCAATAGTCTTAACGGGGTTAGCTAACAGGTTAATCATCGATCAATAATGATCACTTCACTAAAGTGGCCACTGAATTTTTAAACCCAGGTTGGGAAATGGTGATCTAATGTAACTAATGATGAACTGTAGTTAGGTGATGATTTTGTTACTAAGGAATGAATGTTAGTTAATTGTTAGTAACGTTAGTACATGATGACATAAACACCAGTTAAATATATAATCAGTAAATTATGTTAGGTAACAAACTGATGGTTAGAGGTTAACTATTGTTAGTAAATGATGTGTTAACTGTTAGTTAATGATTAATTAAATGATTACAGTTGATTGTTAGTAATTGGATGTAATGTTAAGGTAATTATTATTTCATCATGAAGTAATGGTTAGTTATCTATAGTTAATAGATAGTTATAGTTAGTTAATTGTTAACTATAGTGTTTCTATGAGGCTCTAAAACTTGATAGATGATAATCTCATTCTTTGTTAACTCGGCACAATTTGGGGTTTTTGTATGAAGCATTACTAACCTTTGGAGTTTACCCAATGCAAACAAATGGTTATTTACTGATTCTAATTGGACTGGCAGTGTGTGTATTTTTAACAGATCACCTGAGATCTTGTGCTAATGAACTACAGAGATGAAGAACATCAACATAAGCTGCAGAGCTTGGACAGTTTGAATTATTTGGCACAAATGCCAGTAAAGGTTCAGATGATCAACATAAAACGTTAAAGTTCTTGTAAACCTCCTCCTATCTCTGCTCCAGTCAGATCACTCACACCTGATCATAGTTTCCATCTCCCCCTGCCCCGAGCCGCTGCTCCTTGCTCGCATTGTGCAGAGAGGGGGTGAGAAAGCACCTGCTTCCAACAAGGAGGTGGAGAAAACGCTCTCATGACACGGTCCAACTGCAGTGGTTGGCCCTGAAACTTGTGCAGGAGGTTGGATTTAACCCTGGGTGCGCACAGGCTGCGGCGGGGGAAGGTGCTTTGCGGTGTTCTGTCCTTGAGATTCAAAAATTAGTTTAGAGAAATGGGTTAACTCATTTGTGGTGACGAGTTAAACAAATGTAGTTAATTCTGACAGCTGTGGGGTTTTTGTTTTTTTTTATGAAAGTTATTCCCCGGGCTACATCTGTCACGTATTTGAACGGAGCGCATGCTGGTGCCAGATTTTCCTGCCACTGGATGGACGATGTGGTTTTAGGAGACGGCCGCGAACCGCAAACAGGAGCGCAGTAGACTTCCGGACATGGACTCGTGCGATCGGACGGGAAACACAAGTTTCCTTCAGATCTGAGACCTGAGTTTGATCACTGTCGCACCATCAGCTGTAAACGTTGGTCTGAAAATGCGCACGAGGTCCAGCAAACTGATGCGTAAGAAGGGATGCCAGCCAGGCGTGGCTTGTGTTTGAATATCCAATGTGAGAATGCGTGGGGAGTATGTATATAATAGAGTCCTTCCATCTGATAAACACACATATCAAACTCATGATTACAGCAGAGGACTATCAATAAACTGAGAGGACTTTGGGAGCAGCTCTGTGCGCTGGGGACGCTTCTTTTTGCGTGAATGGACCGGACTTATTGTGTGAACTTCCACACAGACATCTGAACATGCCTACGCTTAATTTGACAGCTGTACACACAATGGCAGAGGTCGGGAGCTTTCTGGGGACGCTCGACTTGGATTTACAAAGCTTTCCTGCTCTGGGGAGTACGATGCCCTTACCGGAGCCTCCTGTGGGGCTGAACGAGCGGCTGGGGCAGATTGAAGGCAGGCTGCAGCAGGGGTCGCCGACGGATTTTGGCCACCTCAAAGGGATCCTGAGGCGGCGACAGCTCTACTGCAGGACCGGCTTCCAGCTGGAGATATTCCCCAACGGCACCGTGCACGGAACAAGGCAGGACCACAGCAGATTTGGTCAGAACTGACTTCATTCTACAACTTATTTTATTTATTTATCTATTTATTGTTGTGCCTCAAGTATACCGTTTTAATCAGACATTGAATTGTTTGATTAAAACATATAAATGTTATATTTTTAAATGATGAGGAGATTTGTAATTACTTTAATGAAATTGTTACAAAAATACAAGAAAAGGTTGAATTGGGAAGCGCTCGTGCGTCTCACCCCAGGTGAGCTGTCGCTCGTGCGTCATCTCGTGCGCAGGAAGGCTGCGCCACGGCACCTATCGCCTGTGCGCGTGGGGCGCAGGTGTCTCTCCTCAAGCAGCAAATAAGCGGCGCGTGCGCGTTCCCTGGTCCCATGAGGGACGCTCATATACATGCGCGCGCCTCCGTCGGACACCAATAAACTCATAATGGAAATATAACATCAAATAGTCGCTGCCCAGCTCGCTGTGCGTTTTCTCGCGATACTACACCACACTGTCATCTGTGAGGTGGGACAAGGACAGAAAAGCGGTGTCATGGGAGAAGGAGAAGCTAAACAAGAGAGGTCAGAGGTCAGACGTCACAGGTGCAGGCCGGCTCGCCTGCTGCGGAAACGAATAACTCTGAATTAAAGCGTGACTAGTGCGGAATTCAGAGAAGGTTTAATGTTCATAGTTGAGCCAAAAGAACCAGGGGTTTTTACTGGGATGGGTGGTCCCAGTTTGTCTTAAAACGCGCAGGCTTGTCGGACATGGCTCTGATTAGAGGGACATGAAACATACTTTTCTCTTCACCCTCAGAAAAAAAATTATAGAGAGATCTTCTCTGTCATCCTCTGGCTTCTGATGAGTTGGAGGAGATGGGGACCAGGTGGCTGCTGGCCCCTGCCAGCCAGCTGGATCCTCTCTGACTAACTTCTGCATCACAACAGCCACTGGCTTTTAATTTTACCAGTTGTTTGCTCTGCCTTTGAAGTGGGCTTTCGGTTTACTGTCACTTCCTGTAAGTCAGAACAAGCTGCCCACCTCCAGCTTCATTAGAGCGTCTTCTCAGGCTGTTGGCAGCCGGTGGGGAACTCCATCACACTTTATAGACTACCTCATACTAATTACTACCAAGATTTGAGCTGCAGGTAAAAGAATGGTGGTGCAATCACAAAGCTCTGCAGAAGTCTTAAACTAACCCTCATTTCTTCATATTTTACCTGAAACAGTCAGAAAGCGCTGTCATCTAATAAATGTACCCAGATTTTACAGTTTTCTAAAAGATTTTGATTAACTTTATCTGCTTTTGACTCCTTCTCTGTCCAGTTATTGTATCCGGGTGAATTTCCCACAAGAAATAAAAAAATAATGAATAAAACAGCAAAACTGTGGGAGACGCAGTGGTGTTTTGTAGATCATCTGTATGTTGGTGCTAAAGCTGAATGTAGCCTAAACATTATTACACTGTCTGTTGCATCTTAATGGAGCACTTGTTTATATTTAGATGTTGGGAGCCTGAGAGGTCAGATAAACGTGGGTAAACAAACAAAAACAAAACGTTTGTCTAAAAGTGGCCAGCGGCAGAAAATGAATTAGAATGCTACTAAAATGCAAAGAAAATCCCATTAAAGTCATTTTTAAAAACTGTCCAACCCTCAGATCATTTGATAAAAGTAGAAGGAAATCATAATTTTAATGATTTGTTATTATACTGTATGAAAGTTTAAGTTTTGGAGCAGGAAAAAGCCTTAAAACAACAATAATAATTAATTTGTGGGTTTTGCTGCACGTTGTGTCTATAGACTTCTCTGACCTGTGTGTGTGTGTGTGTGTGTGTGTGTGTGTGTGTGTGTGTGTGTGTGTGTGTGTGTGTGTGTGTGTGTGTGTGTGTGTGTGTGTGTGTGTGTGTGTGTGTGTGTGTGTTTGACCTCAGGTATCCTGGAGTTCATCAGCCTGGCAGTGGGTCTGGTCAGCATCAGAGGGGTGGATGCTGGACTCTACCTCGGCATGAATGAGAAAGGAGAGCTCTATGGGTCGGTGAGTTACACCCCCAACACACGCGCACACACACGCACACACACACACACACACACACACACACACACACACACACACACACACACACACACACACACACACACACACACACACACACGCACACACACACTGTGCGGGTCAGGGTCTCACTCCCCACACACCTGTCACCCAGGACTTATTTTAAACCATACTCCCGTCATTCTTTGACAAATAGAACATCTTTTGTTTTTTCAGCGTTATGAAAAAATTACGGAGGTTCTCGCATGGCAGATGGGAAAACCACAATCAGACTAAACAAGCGCGTGTTTCTTATTCTTCATGCTTGTTTTTTTTTTGTCTACAAGGATTTGAAGAAAAGCAGATTAAAGACAGACAGCATTTAGTTCTCAGATTTTTTCACAACAGGCCGATGAGTCACTCTGTATATTAATTTAACTGAAACGTCAGCGTTTCATGATTTTTTTTTTCCTTTCCACATCGTCGCTAACTTTCTCACACATATGGTTACCTGCAGACAGGAAAAAGGGAAGAGATAAACCCAATGAAAGGGGAAGAATGTAAAGGCAGCCCTGTATCAAGTGTCCCGGGGCAGTACCTGGGGGCCTCTTGGTGGCTCTGCCCCCCCGAGCATTTCAAACAGAGGCCACTTTAAAGGACGCCATTATGCTGGAAGTGCAGATATTGTTACTGCATGTTATCAGAGTCTGGCATCCTGGAGCTTTGACCCTGAGATGAAGGGGTGGAGGGAGGCAGTGATTTCACATAATTGCACACCTGAATGAGTCACCTGACTGACAGAGATGTAGACATGTCTGTCTGAGGAGATGAGGGGGAGGAGGGGGGAGAGGAACAGGCAGAGGGGCGCTTCCGTCCCACGACTGCTAGAGCCTGACGAGCTTTTGATCCGATGAGGTGTGTGTGTGTGTGTGTGTGTGTGTGTGTGTGTGTGTGTGTGTGTGTGTGTGTGTGTGTGTTAGGGTGGCCCAGTTGTGCCCTTTAAGCTGTGTTTACACACAACACAAAACAACCTAGTGGAGCCTGACAGCCGGTCATCAAACTTGGATAAAACCTCGACAGTTTCAGTGAGACCGGTTGTAAGAGCAGAAACTGTCACATGCAAAAGCCTCACGCTGCTCTGTCTTTCAGAGCTTGTTGCATCACCTCAGAGGTCAACAGTGTGATCACTTCCCCTCATTTGTCATAAAGGACACCTGCTTAAATGTGTTTGAAGAACCTGCACAGATGTCCGTGTTTCTGCTGCTGTTCCTCTCTGACTTCATGGGCTAACTGTGTTTCCTCTCCTGCAGAAGAAGCTGACAGCAGAGTGCGTCTTCAGAGAGCAGTTTGAGGAGAACTGGTACAACACCTACGCTTCGACTCTTTACAAGCACACGGATACGGGACGCTTCTACTACGTGGCTTTGAACAAGGACGGCTCGCCCAGGGAGGGCAGCAGGACTAAAAAACACCAGAAGCTCACCCACTTCTTACCCAGACCGGTGGAGATTGAGAAGATCCCTCAGGCGTACAGGGACGTGTTCCAGTACAGGTGACCAGTGCTCACAGCTAGGAGGACTGGCTAAATTCAGAGAGAAAGGAATAGGAAGTATTTACGCTCCTCGTCGATGGTGAAGGCAAGAGCAGAGTCGCTGTGGAGGATTAGTGGGCTCAGCGAGGAGGGAAAGCTTTCACCCTGGAGACCCTGATGACTGATGAGCTGCGGGGCGATCGGGGAAACTAAATCAGATGCCATGTTTATCTCACGTACTCGTGCACACAACGCTGTGGCTTTTGAGTTTTCTGCTCCCAGCAGGTTGTTACTGATCATGAGAGCAACAGGAAGTTCCTTTCAGAAGCTCTGAGGGTTGTTTTGCACTCGTCACGCAAAGAGAGAGAGGACATTCAACATTTACAGCAGCAGATAGCATGTCAGGGTCAGACAGTCAGGTGCTGCAGAGTCTGTAAGGAGAGTGTCGGCGAAGATCGATGAAGCACTTACCGCACGCCCCCCAGGCCCAGCTGTGGGTCTGGTCCCAACCTAAACATCGCCTTCATCAACTTTAAATGGAATATCAAGCACCGTCTTACAGGAGTTTTGAAAAAAGATTCAGTAGAGGTTTGGGATGAAAGCACTTCTCTAGCCATTAGGGAAAAAACCTGATCTGTTCTGTGGAAAGACAGTGACCTGTGATGTTCAGAGTGCAGTGAACATTATAAAAGAGAAGAAGAAAAAATGCGTTCTGAGGCTGTACTTATGGGTGTTCCTATTTATGAGATGTACAATGTATTTATTTTCAACATATACAAATTATAAATGTAAATCTATATATTTATTTATTGCAAAGACTTTATTTTGTAATGAACTTGAAGTTATCTGGACTGCAGAGTCTACTGAAACGAGGCGTAAAAACAAACGAAAAAACATTGAGAACCGCAACAAACAAGACAATAAAATTGTCCTGCTATTGAGAACTCATTGTGAGAGACTATTTTTGCTTGGAAGACAGTGTGATGTACCAATTAAACCCACATTTATAAGGTTTAATGTCTTTTATTTGGTTTTTGTTCTGATTCGTGGGACAATCAGATGGAAGTTTGTGACTTTTCATGAGATTTAGACCTAGTTTAGCAACAAGGTGACGTTTTAAAGGATTTTTAAAATGCAACACAAAAACTATTACTTTTAAAGCGTGATGATGAGTCATGCACTCTTGTTTTTATCAGGCTCTTTCCCAGAGAACACCAGCAGCACAATCCCTTCTAGGTTGGCCTCATAAACCCCTTCAGCATGCTGGGGTGACTTTAGAGAGTAACACAGGCTTCCTCTGTCTCCCTGGGTTCTTGGCCTGCCTACCTCCACCATACAAAATCAGATTTCTTATGCAACTGGATCCCGACTTCTAATTGGCTTTGCACATCAGTGTGGATTAGGAGCAGTGATTGGGTGTTTGCTGCGGGGGCCTCTCAACGGACAGAAACAGCTGCCCGCCGAGAAGCTGCGTGGACGTGACTCTCAGAGCCGGCGTGGTGGTAATCTGGAGCTAAGATGGGATGGGATCAACATTTCAACATCTGCAATAGTTGCAATGTTGCTTCATTGGCAGATATCTGTACGCTGTGAGAGCAAGCTCCCCTGGGGGGAAGGGAGGAAAGGGAAGGGAATGGAAAAGTCAAAGACATGCAGGGGAAAACCCTGACAGGCTGAGAAATGAAAACAATACCGGGTGAGGGGAAAATAGATGAAAGATGGATGGGAGACAAGAGGGGGACAAACGGCACTTAGAGCCGTGAGGTGTGAAACACATGAACACGGGGATGAATCAGCTGTTTCCAATTATTAAAGCACACATACAACAGCTATTTATAGGTGCTATTCCAGGGGTGGGGGGTGCATAGAACAAGCTTACATGCTGCAAATAAAAATAACACATATCTGTCGTTGGTATTTTGTACAGCACGTTGTTGCATTTCACTTGTTTGCTGTGATTGATCAGCGGACTTTACAAACTTCTGGGTTGTTCTAAAATAACAACAGTCATTATAGCTCACAGTTCAAAGGTCGTCTGACCCAGGACACTCCTGAAAACATGATCACATTTCAATTTCAACTCAATTTAAACAAAGGTTTGATTTCTTCAGAGATAGCGAGCTGGTGTGTTGCTTAGCTGTTGGTCAAAGCTTCACATCTGCTTCATAGAGATCGGTAGTATTACTCCAAATCAGCATGTATATTAAATTAGATTCTGTACATTAAAAACAAGATGTGATTAGAAAATATTGTCATTGTATTTCAATTAGGGACATCCAATATCTAAGCAGCGAGATCCCGGTTCAGGCCCAGTCCGTTCATACCAAAGACCTTAAAAAATGGGAACCAATGCCTCTCCGCTTGACACTCAGCCTTAAGGCGTTCCTGAGCGCAGCCACTGCTGTAGCTCACGCCTCCCCACGGAGACGGGTCAAATGCAGAGATGTCATTTCAACTAGGGATGCAACGATACCACTTTTTTCCACACCGATACTTGGATCTGAGTACTCGCCGGTACCGATTACCAATACAGATACTTCTACTACACAAAAAAATGCAATGATTTGGAATACAGATTTTATTTTGTTCTCTGCTTTCAACAGGAAAAGACTGTGAGGTAGATAAAAAGTAAAATATAAGAATGGAAATCATCACAAAACTAAAATATTTGGTGAACAGAAATGACAAGTTAGTGAAGCCATTTTCAAGCAACTGCATTGGTATCGGTTCCTGGTACTGGTTAACTTTTACCGATACTGGTATTGGCATCAGTGCCGATACCAATACCAGTATCGTATCGGTGCATCCCTAATTTCAACAGAGTGTGTCGGCGACTAATTATCGGCTGATATTGGCATTAAAATGTCATTTCAGAAGTTATCAGTACTGGTTTTTACTCTTTAAATGACACCTTTGACATACCATGCACATGCTACCTAACATGACTATTTTACCATGCAAATATTGCTATAAGTTTATATCCATTTAGGAGAATGAGAGTTGGTGGATAATCTGACAAAAAGCCGATATCAAACATCCCTAATTTGAGTATAAACTGGAAACAAATAAATTATTTGCTAAATAAAAACATGTTGGCATCTCGTTATAGGTGTAGGATTATGCTGGTTTAAATCCCTTAATCTGGTTTTATATGAAGATTACATTAATCAGAAGTTTTGTGTAAATAGTAGCAAATAAGCTCTGATCCATTTTTGTTGATCATTTTAAAAATTGTATTGTGTCCTTAATATCCACACAGTTCTGTTGGTGTTTGATTCAGATGTGAAGAAAGTAGGACTCAAGGATATGCAGTATGTTCGGAAACTCTTCCCTTCAACTATGCTGCAAATATGAAGTCAAACTCCTCCGTTCATGGATTAAGCACATCTGCCTTCTGTCAACTGACTTTTTAATAAATCCAATAATTTCAAAATAAGGCGACTAAATCAAACCTGTTACTAAAAACAACTCAGACACACGCTGCCCACTGTTTTGGTCACTTTATTAAATGTTATATTAAATACTTATGAAGATAATAGCAATTCATCAATGGCAAAACATAATGGTGTATCTAACATAAGAACAATCTTCGATATGGGCAAAGGAAATTATTCTACATTTAGAAAATACACCCTGTGCAAACGTAGGAGTCAACAGGCGTCTCTCGGTGAGAAAACTTTTTTGTTAAGCATCTAAAACTGTTTAAGCCTTAAAGAAAGAATGTGTCAAAGTAGAATACGAGTAGTCTGGGAGCCTGCCTGGTGAGAGCGACAGCGTCCAGGAGAGCATTACTCACAAAGCACCGGACAAAAGAGATCAGCCGTGGATAATAGCAATCGCAGTCTCTCTCTTCTCCCGTCAACTCCATCTTGAAACTGATATTTTATAATTTCAAAGACAGGTATGGAGTGAGTTTTGGGCCTGTGTGGCTTCCAGATGAACCGTCTGCTGTGAGACACAGTCACTCACCACTCACAGGAGGAAAAGCAGAAAATAACGTGGGATGATCAGAAACACACGGTGCTATGCTAAACAACACGTAACAATGAGAATGTTACAAAAAAAAAAGGGTCAAAGGAGCCAACGGGCAGCTCTGAACAATACAACCATCCAATATGTTCAGTAACAACTAAACACTTACAAGCATAATAGAAAAGATTCACAACAAATCAAGTGTTTACAGATTCTTTTGCTTTTTTCCTTTGATAGAAATCAACATAAGGCCTTCTTTACTTTTAGTTTTCTGTTTCATCTAGCTTGTGAAATGAGCAGGACTCTGCAACACCAACAGCTGCACACTTTGCTAGATAATTCACAACCAAGTGAGGATAATAATCAGATCTTTTTATTTTTATCACCAAGGATTCTGGTCCCATTCGGAGGGCTGTGAGGCATTTAAAAGAGTATAAAAACTGAGTTTAAATAACAGGAACCCCTTTTAGAAGGGAGAAGAAAACAATGCTTACCAGCATTGGGGGGTGGGGTAAAACCTGTCTTTAAATACATGAAAAATGAAGCTATGGAACTTGAACGACATTAAGGCGGAACACATTTTTTTTCTGTTGGAATTCAGAACAAGCCTTTCACGCAGTTATTTATACATTATACTCCACCGTCTGGCGGTGGGTCACAGAGTACAACACTGAGTCTATCCTAACAGAGCAGAACGCCTCCATGCTCTGGTCTGGAGCTCCAAGTCTCACAGTGTGTCGTGATGCAGGAGGGCGGAGGACCTACATGCCCTTTGAGGGGCCGGGGCTCTTGCCCATGCCTTGATTGGAGCCCATGCCGTGCAGCCGCTGGTACAGCCCGAGCAGGTCCACTTGGCTGAGCCCACCAGCTCCCATCAAGCCGTTCTGCATGGCCAGCTGGTTCAGGTAAGTTGCCTGGTTGGCCATGGCCAGCTGCTGCTCCTGCACCTTCCTGTTGGTGATCAGCTTCTGCACGAACATCATCAGCTGGACAAAACACAAACAGTGAATTAGCTAAATGTCAACATAGGCATCAGAAAACATGGGAGGAAAGATACGACTTCACTTTACAACACGACTACTAGAGCTGCACGATGTGTCTGAGGATCGACATCACGACGTTTGTGTGTGATCGTCACGTCGCAGGTCCAGCTGTGATGTTGCACTCAGCACGTCCTCATCTAACGTTAGTGGCTCCTGACCACAGTCACCGACCAATCACAATCTTGTTAGCTTGAAGCTAATATGAAGACGCTAACGAAAGTTATGATTAAAACCATGGATTACTGAAGCGGTATAAGTGGACTTTAATTGGAGGACATTAATTGGACGTTGTGGATGTAGAAAGACCCCTTTTGTCTGACATGACTAATTCTGTCAGTGATACGAGGCTCTGAACAGCGAGTGTGATGTTATTTCATGTATTTCCGAGTGGTTTAACCTACTGTGGAGTGGTTCCAAAATAGTAAACATTAGAACATCCTGTTAATATCAAATCCATTAGTTAGTTTATGAGTCAGGTCTGGACCCGGGGTCGTAGTTATATAAAACGAGTGCTGCTCAGTTAAAGCCCATACGCTCTAGTCCTTACCGACTGCTGCCTGGTGAGCACATCCCTGTAGACGTTTTCCCTGCGCTTGAGCTCCATTTCCACAGAGGCCTGGTGCCTCAGAGCCATAGCCTGAACCTGGCTCTCTGTGAGAGTTGGGCTGTCCTTCCACTGAGGGGACAAGAGACACTTTATTTACGAGGCGTTATGAAAACCACAACTTTTGACCAAACACTCGTGCTAGGAGAGACCTGCTCATGCCTATCCTAGCTGGCTGGAGTTTCTCGCCGTTTCAAACTCACCACTCTGGCAATGACGTCTTCCAGTGACTCCCGACTGAGGCTTTTCAAAGAATTTGATGCTTCGATGACTTTCTGCCGACCCTGGTTTATGAGGTCCTGAGGAAAAAGCAAACAAGACACTGAGCTTAAATGGACAAATGTAGACCAGCACAATGTTCCTCACATTAATATTCTTGTTAAGCATCAGTCATTAAGTGTGTGCAGCTCATTATGTGGGTTTTACTACCGGAACATTTACTGTTGTGTTCAGTCTCACCACCTGCAGCACCAAGAGCTAAAGCTAACACCCAAGAGGGAGACGCTGGTGGAGCGGGTCAACACAAAACAATGCTTCTATCGTTATCAGCCCTACGCTCTTGGGTTAACAAACACAAAGCCGCTCCTGCAGGAGTAGCCGCTGCCCCAGACAAGGTGGAGGAGAGCGCTGAGCCGGCCCTGTCTGCTGCTTGACCGTCGTCACAATTAGATGTGAGCTCTGAGGAATGTGGGACGCCATGCTGCGGGGGAGGGGGGAGGCATGTGGAGCTCATTACTTACCTCCAGCTGCTGGTTGCTCATGGAGGCCAAAGCTGCCATGTTGAACGAGAAGTAGTTGGCGGAGCCCATGTCCGGCTGATTGTAACCTGCCTGGTAGTTGGTCCTCATGGACATACCCTGAGGAATAAAACGAGGGATGACATTGGTAATTAGAGCAGGCACGATGAGGGGAGCTGCTTTTAATGACTACGGCACAGCAGAAACAGCATCCAACACTAACCAGATCACGCTCATGACAAAGTCGGAAACAAAGTTTAAAGAAAATATGCAAATTTTCAGCTAGAATCAAGTTACAATTCTGCATTAATTATTATATATGTCACAGATACAACTTTAAAGCAAGGCTTCCCTTATGAGTTATAGTAGATCTGGAATTTATTATCTGTACAGTGGTCCCTCGCCCTTCACCTTTTACCATTTTTCTTTGTGCAGTTTCTTTTTTAAATTGCGTTCTGCATCCAAAGGTACAAAGATTTGAACTTTGAGTGTTTAAACGAGAGAAAACTGAAAATGCCTGCTGACAAGTGTATGAAGTGTGTAGTGATGGGTTTTACAGCCTTAAAATATCGTGGCGGTGCGCTGGGATAAACACGTCTGTGGAGGAGAGGAGCGCGCTAGCCGTGCCACGGCTGGAGCGCAGTAGTAATCAGCGCTCCTGTGTCTTTTTATACAGGTGAAGACGGAAGTCTCAATAACTTAATGAGTGCCTCAAATGCTGCAGAGTGTGTGCAAGTAAAACGGCTGAGATACAGACATCCCAGTGATTTTGTGAGTGTGAGCCCAACAGTAGCTGTGTATGCTACACAAACCACAAAAAATGAAGCGGACTTCTTCGCGAATCTTGCCTAGTGCGGGTTATTTTCAGAATGCAACTCCTGCAATAAACGAGGGACGGCTGTAAATACTTTATTTCCTCGATCCATTTTTAACAGCTTATCCAGGGTGGGGTCGTGGGGGCAGCAGCCCAAGCACAGAGGCCCAGACTTCCCTCTACCCAGCAACTTGGGCCAGCTCCTTTGGGGGAATCCCAAAGGGTTCCCTGACCAGACAAGAAACATAGACCCTCCAGTGGGTCCTGGGTCTTCCCTTGGGTCTCCTACCAGTTGGATGTAGGGCTGGACGATAATTCAATAGTTCAATACATCTATCGATAGACATGTGGTGTGATAGATTAAAAAACGGGGCGATAAAACTTTGATAAAAAGTTTCCTTTTTTCATTATAACCTATCAAGTAGGTAACGTGATAGGTTAACTCAACTCTCCCACCATCCTCCCTTACACTCTGCCTCTCTGAAATCAAATCATGGTTCACCTCTAATTTCCTCAAACTCAACGGCAACAAAACTGAACTTCTTCTAGTTGGCACTAACTCCACCCTCTCAACATCTGACAGCTTTTCTTTAACTATTGACAGCGCCACAGTCTCCCCCTCCCCTCACGTCAAGATTCTGTGTGTCATTCTTGACAGCTCACTTTCTTTTCAAGCTCACATTAATAACTTAATTCGGTCAGCATACTTCCATCTACGTTCCATTAACCGTCTCCGTCCCTCACTGACCCCTCACACTGCCGCCATTCTCGTCCACAGCCTCGTCACCTCCCGTATCGACTATTGCAATTCACTTCTTTATGGTCTCCCCAACAAACTCCTTCATAAACTGCAAATGGTCCAGAATTCAGCAGCCCGTATTATCACCAGAACCCCTTCCTTTCACCACATCACCCCGGGTCTCCAGCAGCTTCACTGGCTCCCAGTTAAATTCAGGTCCATCTTCAAAATTCTCCTCCATACCTTCAAAGCTATCCACAACCTCTCTCCTCCATATATCTCAGACCTTATAAGTATTCACACCCCGTCCCGTTCACTCAGATCATCTTCTTCCATCCATCTTGCGGTTCCTTCTGCCCGTCTCGCTACCATGGGGAGCAGAGCTTTCAGCCGCTCTGCTCCCCGTCTCTGGAACTCACTTCCCCCAGACATCAGGAACATCGACAGTTTTACCCTTTTCCAATCAAAACTCAAAACACACATGTTTAAATCTGCCTACAACCTCTGATTTTATTGAACTGTTTCTCTCTTTGTTTTTTCTTCTTTGGGTTTTATTATTGTTTTATTGTATTTTATTACGTGTTTTCTGTAAAGTGACCTTGGGTGTCCTGAAAGGCGCTTTGAAATAAAATGTATTATTATTATTATTAAGTAGCAGCATACTACACTCACTACTTACTCCTAACCAATCAAAACTACAGACTCGGCATGCTAAGTCACCAGGCCCTCCCCTCTCAAGCCAAAACAGAGCATGAGGCAGCCGCAGCAAGATCTCTAGGGCTGCTACGATTAGTCGACTCGTCACGATGTCGCCGACTAATAAAATACACCTTAATTTATAAACATTTTTTAATCTCGCCTGCTGCAACACGTTTGGCATTTGCTTCCTGCCTTTCTGCTCAGCCGCCGCTTTAGCTCCGGGGTGCATGCAAAGTGGTGGCCATCATCATCAGCCTTCATCACCGGAGAAAGAAAACACGGAGGGTCGGCAACATAGTTCAAAAGTTTGGGAGCATTACACAAATTCAAAAGAAAGGCCCGTAAAGTGAAACTCTTTGTTACGTGAACACCTAAGCAAGCTAACGCCCTGACTGAGGCCACTGTGAGCATGTTGGTCACAAGACTCCTGTCCATGCTGAGTGATCTAGGTTTGAAAGAGATGAACAAGCAGCTAAACCCAGGTTACCACAACTACTACCTAACAGGCCGATCCCATTTCACCACCATGATGGAAAAGAAAAATTAAACAACATTTAAGGTGTGTGTGTGTGTGTGTGTGTGTGTGTGTGTGTGTGTGTGTGTGTGTGTGTGTGTGTGTGTGTGTGTGTGTGTGTGTGTGTGTGTGTGTGTGTGTGTGTGTGTGTGTGTGTGTGTGTGTGTGTGTGTGTGTGTCTTTGTCTCTGTTTCTCTCTGGACACAAATAAAACAAACATTAGAATAAAATGCATTTTATGATCAAATAAAAAGGTTGCTGACTGAGCAACACAAAACTAATATTTTATATAGCATAAAACATTTTCTTTGTGTTAAATCTTAACCTACTTTATTTGATATAACAGAAGTATTAATCTGGTAAATAAACTAACTATAATAGCTTTTATCTTTACGGTAAAGCAGACTCTCAGAGCTGTCGATGGTCCCCGACTGCTGATGTCTGGACCAGCCGTGTTACAGAGGCGTACCTTGGCGTGCCCTGCCATTTTCCGAGTTAAGATTCCGACTTGGAAGATGAAGCGCTTCAACATCGTCCAGCCCTAGTTGGATGTGCCCAGAAAACCTCACCAGGGAGGTGTCCAGGAGGCATCCTAACTAAATGTCCAAGCCACCTCAACTGGCTCCTCTTGAAGTGGAGGAGTGGATCTACTTACTACCTGAATGACCGAGCTTCTCACCCTATCTCTAAGGGAGAGCCCAGACACCCTGCGGAGAAAACTCATTTTGGTCGCTTTTATCGGCGATCTCGTTCTTTCGGTCACTACTCGAAGCTCATGACCATAGGTGAGGATTGGAATGAAGATCGATCGGTAAACCTTGAGTTTTGCCTTCTGACTCAGCTCTCTCTTCACCACGACAGATTGGTATAACGCCCGCATCACTGCAGATGCAGCACCAATCCGCCTATCGATCTCCCGTGCCAGCTTTCCCTCACATATGAACAACACCCAGAGATACTTAAACTCCTCCACTTGGGGCAGGACCTCATCCCTGACCTGGAGAAGACATTCTACCCTTTTCCGACTCAAGACCATGGTCTCGGATTTAGAGGAGCAGAGTGTCCTCTCAGCTGCAAACCGCTCGAGTGAGAGCTGGAGAACACCGTCTGATGAAGTCAACAGGACCACATCATCTGCAAAAAGCACTTTGACCATATCTGTGCCTTTTTATTAGATAGGACATAGATATATTTTAGGATCTGGTTTGGTCTAAGGCCATACTCTCATGAACCGGCTCAGAATGTGTGTTTCCCCAAACTGAGGCTGCTCAAGGGTCTATCGCAGGGGTGTCAAACTCATTTTAACTCAGGGGCCACACTGAGGGAAATCTAGTCCCAGGTGGGCCGGACCGGTAAAAAAAAAAAAAAATACTTCAGATTGTTTTCTTTGTTTTAATACAATCAATATAAAACAAAGATGGAGCCTGAGGACAGTGTATCCAAAATAGTACAAGTAAAACACCTGAAGTGTACTTGAAAATTTGAAAAAATTAAAATAAAAAAATCAATCAATAAAAAAGCATTCCTTAGTGATTCAAAGAGCTTACAGATCACATGGCAAGATCAGTTTCATGCAGCACTTAAAGTATATTTGACTCATTTTACTTTACATCTTTTAGCTTTCACCAGCACATCAATATCAGAAGTCACATCCTGAGTGGCGGCCGACTTCAGGATGTGATTCAAGTTCTTGTGTGAGCCTTGAGCGCAGCTTTGTTTGACTTATACTCATTACAGAGAAACCTGCTCACAATGATACATTTATTTTCACTCTACATTGTAAAGTATGAAAATAAATTACACAAACGTCTCGCGGGCCGGATTAAACCCGCTTGCGGGCCGGATCAGGCCCGCGGGCCGCATATTTGACAACCCTGGTCTATCGGGTACAATGACAAATGCTCTAAATTATCAGTTGATTTCTGATTGAGCACAAGAATCTGTTTTTCTTCTGAATTCCTAAACAGAAGCCACGTTTAAATACAGTTCAGGTTTGCTGAAAATGAATCGGCCGTCTTTCCACCACAGCAGGCATGCAAAAGAAAAACTAAATGAAAAGTCAAGTTAAAGATAGATAAGGTGACAGTCTGAACATCACCTCTGACAACGAGGCCTCCAAAAGACCCCTCCTTTTCCACATTCAGCCCATTTCATTCGGTGAGAACAAGATCTCCAATAACTGTTTGCTGTATTGTGTGTGTGTGTATGTATGTGTGTGTGCGTGTGTGCATGCAGTGACCTGAAGTAAACGGTCTTGTCCCAGTAAAGGCCAGCAGAATGCCGATGTTTGTATGTAATTGAGTCTCAGCTGCAGATGGTTTCCCCGTGCCCTGTAATCTGGCCATTTGTGTGTGTGTGTGTGTGTGTGTGTGTGTGTGTGTGTGTGTGTGTGTGTGTGTGTGTGTGTGTGTGTGTGTGTGTGTGTGTGTGTGTGTGTGTGTGTGTTGGGGCCAACAAGGGTCTTTGGACCTGGTTGGAGACAGGTGTGCAAACCTAAACAGTACAGAACCTCCAAACAACCACAAAACTGCACCACTCATGAATCTGCACACTAGCATTCCTCACTTTTAACAAGAAAAGAACTTTCTGTAACATCCTCAGACTCCCTAAAACGTTTATTTAAACCACTGTCGTCTGATTTCTACATTTATAGCATGTTAAACTGGACAGACAAAGGGAAGAAGGAGCTCAGAACCCATTTCCGTCCCACCCCAGCATGCTAGAGCTGGATGTGATTTTAAAGCCTGTATATATATTCGGTGTCACTGCAGTTCCTGCCACTGGGAACTCTCGGTTCTGCTGAAAAGCAGAAGAGTTTGGAGGGGAAAGCCGCTTACACACACCCAGAACAGAAGAGGGAGAGTGTGTTGGAAAAATAATCATTAGGATGAATTAGAATCTAGGATTACAAGGGGACAGAGGAGACGTGCTCTCGCTCTCTCACAACACAACCCCCCTTATACACTTCTCCAAATAAACCCTACTAATTGCCCCACCAGAATGGAGGGAGGAAAGGTGCAGGAGGAGTTCCTAACCGTCTGTGAACTTACAGTAAGCAGCACTGACTGTCTGGGCCCAACGCTGGGCCAAACTGACCACCAGGAGCTTCTCCTTACTGTGAGTGATGATAGGATTACCCAGATCCTACAGTCTCTCTTATTCACCTTCTCTAACCAACCTTTGCTTACTTTTCTTCTCAGTGTTTTGGAGGATGATGGACACGAGGACTAAGTGCTGCATGTGTCCGCTGTGGTGTTCTCCTTTTTGCCTACCTTCTTCTCTGCTTCGTACTCGGCCCATGCAGCCTTGCGATCCTCCTCGCTCAGGGCTTCCTCCTCCTTGTGGTCCAGCAGAGAGTCGTGCTCATGGTAACACACGATCTGGTCCTTGTTGTTCTGCAACATCTCAGCTAGGATGGGATCCTGCAGGACACCAATAGGACACCTTACTGTGCTGACGATGAGGGAAGGGAGAAAACAGGTCCAGCCAGATCCAGACACAAAGTAAACACATAAATAAATCAAGTTTGAGAAAATCCTGTTTCCATGCCTGCATTGTTATTGAAAACAATACATGAGTGAAATTAAGAACCGCGCCAGCTTTTCGATTACAAACGTGGTTTAAATTATTCTCTCTGCAGGATTGAACTCTCCTTTGTCTCAACAGAGATTTACTTTAAACTGGAACTCTGGGAACATCACGTTGCCGCCCCCCCCCCCCCCCCCCCCCCCCACACACACACACACACACACAGGTTCAGAGGGGCTTTGGGCTTCATCTGTCCCAGTTTTATCAGAGAAAATGTGTGTGAATGTAATATTAAATAAACAAAATGCTGTTGGGATTAGGAGAAGAAAAACATAAAATTTAAACATCAAACCATGAAATTTAGCATTGATTGCAAATCTGTGGTGAATAAACATGAAATGAACACCAGACTAGATGGAGTGAAACTAGATCCATCATGGGGGGGGGGGGGGGGGGGGGGAGAACTGAGCAGAGCTATCTTTTATGGCTCTGTGCAGAGCTTCTCACCAACACACACACACACCGTGCTCCTCCACGACATATGTTTATGTTTCCTGGCCATCAGTCCCAATCAGAACAAAACCGGGCCACCCCCGAACAGCCAAACATATTGAAGCGGCACACGAGTGATCCCACTGCTGCTTTACCCTCTAATTAAGACATAAAAGCACAGCGGAGCCTGTTGGCCTAACATGGATAAAAGACTTGTTACGGTTTGTTCTGACAACAACAAAAAAAAGGTGAGCAGAAGGTCAAAATAAAAACCGAAGTCAACGCCAGCACTGATAATGTGTGTGGTTTTGACTACAGCATTTAAACCAAGTGAGTAGTGAAAGCATACGGAGTCACGCAGGTAGAGCTGGCAGTCTGGCTGGCTTTTAGTCTTGGTTGAATCTGCTCAGGATGTACAAAGTGTTTTGATCCAGAGGCATGAAAGGAGAGTGTTTCTGACAGTTGACTGGGTAACGGGTCAGCAGAGCTGCAGGTCAAATGACAGTACAGACGCTCCCACCGGTAAATAGTGCATTCTGGGATACCCAAGTAATCCCCATCAGCGATGGCTCTGGGGTGGTCTGGTCCATCTTCTGCCCTGAAGCTGTGTGCGCGTGTGTCCTGAGGCAGCACTAATGATTGTAGGTAACCCGACCTACACTATTGTCATCCTCATGAACACGCACGGTGAAGCCTATCAATTTCCTGAAAGGGAGAAAAGACACTGGGTGGGCAGACACACACACACACACACACACACAAAGAAAAAAGGCTCTAAATCACTCTACTTGACTCAACTTATGTTCGTAAAAAATTGGAGTTCACGTCCTCACTTTACAAAAGAAACATCAACAATCACTTATGTGTGTTAATCGTCATTTCTATACTGTTTATTTAGCAACGATTTAACAGTCTTTGTGTTAAAATACACATAAAAATCTTTTTTTCTTCCATTAAGAAAACATTTCTATCTTCTTCAAACCAAATTCTTGTCCATGTAGAAAATATGAAAAAGTATGACGTAAAGGAGATTTAAAAACTCGGCAACTCTCACATCTCAGAGACAAAAGCTTGGGAGTCAACATCAGAGGGGCCTCATGTAGACTTTACTGCTTGGCACCGACTTCTAACGTGTTCTTCATCAACAGAGTGTAGGTGCCGCTGGACTGGAAAAGGAATGATGCAGTAAAACGCTGCCCGGCAGGAATTTTTCTTTCTTTTTTTTGGATCTATGTTATCAGACGTTCTCACAAACTATTATCCAGCATGTCAACACAATTCCCTTCACCTGAAACCATCGGTTCAGGTGTGGCGAATATGTAGCCCGTCCATCAAAAGTCCTTTTGCAAGCCTTTGCCCAGAGAAATATCAAACAGGAGCCATTAAATGTAATGAGAAAGAAAAACAGGAGAAATTATTGAAGCCCGGTGCTGAAACTTGAAAACGACTCAGCTGTTTGAGAAAAGCTGCGATTTTCTCAAGTTGCTCAGAACATTTTAGAATGAACTCAAAAGCTGTGTCTGCGAGAAGCTCCTTGTGACGCACAGGTGCACTAACCATAGCAACCACGGGGGCCAGGCGGGATCCCGACAGCAGGAATGTAAGCGTCTGAGATATCTCTAATACCTAAACATAGCCAGTCAAAACTCCCCATCCACCAGCTGCACACCAGTGATACACACACAGCTCTAGTGGCTGGCTATTAACAGTTTCTCTCCACAAACACTCGGAAACCTGAGTACTGTTGCTAACATCAGAGGGACACCCCTGCTTTCAGAGCCACACTGTCCTCACACCCTCCAGGCCCAGAGTACAAGGCAGAGGTTTTATCCAGCCGTCAGTCAGCTAACAAAGAAACAAAATCATGCATGTCACAAAGGCCTTGGCAGAAGACAATAAACAAACCAAATTCCTACAAAAACAAGCCTCAGCTAGCAGCAGCAGCAGCAGCAGGGGGGTCTACTTCTGAGAGCGCCAGACGGCTGGAGCTGCTGGTAGATCACCAGGGCTTCAGAGGCATTCAACCAGACTGGGGAGAGTTTTCATTTTATTTAATTATTATTTTCATTAACAAAAAAATAAATAAAAATAAAAACTCAAATGTTCTTTATTGTTTTTGAACCAAGTGCAGGAGGAGGAACGTATCGTCAATCTCAGTTTCAATAATTCAAACAGCTGTTAAGTCAAACTAATCTGAACAACTTAAGCAACTCTTACCACACTAGCACATTAGCAAGGCACTGCTAACAATACCACTAAGTGGCAGTAATGCACCAAGTTGTTACCCAATCTATATGCTGCGTTCCTAAGCAACCATTCCTTAATTGTGCCATCGACTAATACCAGAAGATATGGTGAGCTTTTCTCAGAAAAAACGTTTCTCAGCAGCCATTAAAACATAATTATTTACATATGAAAGCAGCATTAGACAGACCAGGCTGCCAACAAGGTCTTTGTGGCTTTGAATTCTAGGACCACTTTAAATTGCACAAATATACAGAAGACACAGAACTGCTGCCAATCTTTGTCCTTAATTATAGTGATGCTAATATTATACTGAACAAATCATGAGAAACATGCTCACTAAACTAAAACCTCAATGTACTTCAGTTTATTTATAAGGCACTAAATCACAACAAGAGTCGTCTCGGCGCTTCACAAAGTAAACATTCTAATTTAATCTACTCATCAGTTCACTGAGTTCAGGTCATTATGCCCATTAGTTAAAAGTCCTATGTAAGAAACCCAGCAGATTGCATCGAGTCACTGACTTGTGTCAGAGACTTTACAGCAGGGGTAGTTAACTCCCTTCCTCAAAGGCCGGTACCCGGCATGTTTTATGCTGGTTTTCCAAGAGCACTACTCATCCTGAAACAGGTCTGTACAGCGTGGTTCGAGTCAGCCCATCTGAGTGTAGTTTTGTTTCCATGCCAACGGGGGCCCGCGGCACTTGTGGCATGAGGTCATCGGTAAACTGTGTAAGGTGATCTGTATGCTCCACAGAAGCACAACTCAGACATGGTACTGCTGTTGGACACTCTGCTAAGTTTTATGGCTTATTGTCAGACTCTGAACCAGGAAATGGCTGCAGGCAGTGAAGCAGAAGGCATAAAAACTCCTGAGTAATCAGTGACTCTACCCCCTAGCCAACAGGTGGCCAGAATCACAATGCTGGCCTGACTCAGCCTTGCCAGTTACCTCTATAGGGAGCCTAAAGGTTGGTTTATGCTTGAAGCATCCATGAGGTTCGCGCGGCAAAATTGCGTCATTTTAACAACTATGCCCCTCCACACGGCCCAAACTTTCAGCATCGCGCACCTAGGAAATTTTCTAACCACGCGGACAGTCGGACGCGGAAAAACATAGCGGACTGGCAAGAACTAGTATGGCAGAGGTTCGTAAATACAGACATTTGTATGATTCAGCTCTCAGAGATCACCGTGATCAACATGTTGTTAATAATTCTTGGAGAGAAATAGCTCGCACTGTCGGAAAAGACGAGGACGCTGTTAAAAACTGCTGGAATGCCATGTTGTAAACAGTAATTTCTACTTCTACTATGGTGTAGTGTTGGATGCATGCCGTAGAGCTCCATGCTGCCCCCTACAGTTTGGGAGAATATTGGCTCACCGCAGCGACAAGCCGCATGAACCATAAACTCTGCAAGTTGTGAAGCGCGTTCCATCCGCGAGCCGCATCACCAAGAGCAAAGTAAATGCGTCATCCATAAACCAAGCTTTAGTCACTTCTGCACCATGGGTCCCTGGAAGAACGGAAAAATGAATGCAAGTCAATGGGGCTAAAAACGCTATTTTTTTTACTCTGCTTGTTTTGTGCCATGGATTTAACATATGATGTCCGCAAATTTTAAAGACGCATTTTGATACCAGTCCAGAACCACAAATGCGCTTGACGAAAGTGACGCCATCGAACCAGACATCGAGAAAACTGAGGGAAAATGGCTGTAAGTTCAGCAAACTTCCCACAGGAGGAAAGAACCACCATAAATGTGGTCATTTGGTAAGTAGCAGCTACTTTGTGGAGAGGAGATTATGTGGTGACATCACATATGCGACGCGCCGATTTCTAGTTTGTAGTCATGCTAATTATGAACTTTTACAAGCTAATAAATCTCAAAGGGTTTCAATTAATAGTTTTCATTTAAATAGCAGTACAACAAATGAGTGATCCAGCGCGTAAGGCAAAGCAGATTAGAAAATGATGTTTTTAGCCCCGTTGACCTGGATTCATTTGTTGTTCTTCCGGAGACCCATGGTGCGGAAGAGACTTAGGCTCCCTATGGAGCAGGGACTAAAAATGTGTGACAAAGTAGAGAGAAAATACCGAGCTACGCCCGTCTAAGTCAATCTTGAGTAGTGCTCTTGGAAAACCAACTTTAGTT